ATTTTAAAAAATTACAAAAACAAGATTTTCTCGAAAACGTTTCCAATTTTTTTCTTTACTAAACTTTTGGAAGAGATAGTTCTAAATGCACTCTAGAAGATGACATATAGGCCATATTTTACTATCCTTTTGTTTGTTTGTTTTAAAAATTACAAAAAAAGTAATTGTTTTTACTTCTCTCTCACGTCGTTAATATATATTAGGGGCAATTTGTTCGTATTATTATATTTATGCGTATGTGTGCTTTACATAATGCCAAATAACGTTTCTCGAAAACTTATCAATTTGGGATTCGAAAAACGTCATTGGCCGTCATTTGAAGCACATTAACTCACAAATACAACAGTGTTTAGAAATTCCTGGAAATATGTATATTAACGGCCAGAGAGATCTTTCAAAAAAAAAAAAAAAAAAAAAAAAAAAAAAAAAAAAAAAAAAACAAACAACAACAACGAAATGAACTTAAAGTCATACTAAAGAGTGCAATTAGCACTCGAAAAGTTTAGCGTTCGAAAAATTTTACAACTAACGTAATTTTCGTAACTAGCGTTCGTAAAAATTTCGTTTTAGTGATGCAGGTTCGAAAAGATCTCGAATCTGCATCACTAAAATTCGAAAAACTTAAAGAAAAAAATTAGAAAACTTTGTGGTAATTGAGGGGAATGAAGATGGCTGTAACAATTTGCACAATCTCTCAAGTACAATCACAAATCATGATCGGTTACAAAGTCATTTGTGTTCACTCAGCTGGATAAGTGTCTGCATCGAAACTGAACTTGATCTATCCGGTGTAACGTGATATGATGATGTAGAAATGATGTGACATAATGATATAGAAAGAAGAGACATATTAAAACGCCTTATTGACGCGACATATTTTTTAGTAATGCAGGAATTGCCTATCGGTGGGCATCGTAAAAATAACAGGTGATTAGCAAAGGCTAAGTCGATGAACTTCTAAATTTGTTTAGTAAGTACGATACTGCAATGAAACAACAATTTACCAAAACATTTAATGGCTCTTCTAACAGAATTCAAAATGTTTTGATTTCTGCAATTAGTAATTTCTTGAGTAAGTCTATTAGAAAACATTTCCATAGCTTCTCATGTTGCAATAGTTTTATATGAAATAGTCATTGCTCCTTGCCATTTCGCGATATAAAATTTCCCAACAGTTCTTAGCTTACATCAGCCGCTATGTTGAGGGAGAGCAGTTCCGTTCCAAAGGAAGCTTTTTAGAGTCGGTTCCGATGCGTGATACAAGTAGTTGTCTATTAAGTACGAATGATAATATCTCTCAAACATGATACAGCTTTCATCACGTCCCGAAACATAACTTCCTTACGACGTGTGGAGCGCTCAGAAACAGGCTGATGATTGATTTTCGGTTCCCTGAAAATGAATGCGCGAATAGGGAGAACTAGCGTTATTTCAGAATACGCAATAATAATATTAATAATAATAATAATAATAATAATAATAATAATAATAATGTCATTTTTAATAAAATAATTTAATTTAAAATATATAGAACTGAATATATTTTCGTTTTGTTCTCCAAAACAGCCTCCAAATCGCATTCTTCCTATTTACAGAGCTTACCCACTAAAAATGGTCAGCGCACGCCTCTGAATGGAATATTAGGACTCTGCGTGATTCGAATTTCAACTTTAGAATGACGGAATTTAAGGTATTTTGAAGACAACTCCGGTCAGTGTAATGGACCGAACTAAATCCCACGGGGAATTTGACGGCAACTTCTCAGAACCGCCAACTTCTGAATCCAAGAGCTTTTAAGTCCGACCCGCGATATTCAAAATCCCGAATTGTCTTCTCTCTTTAGTTTAGTTTTTGAGACCAGGAATTACGTAGTTGTAAATGTGAAATGTGAATTTTTGTTTCGACGCGCACTTATGATTTGGCAGGTAAAAAGTCTAGAAATAGCAAGCGTTTAGCCATTGCAAGAATTTTTGATAAACAATGTTTATTTTTACATAAAATGAAATGTATAAACATGGCGGATACTAGTACATTAACGCAAAGAACATCAACTGCGTTGTGAATATTGTGATTCGGTGCAGTTTATTGAAAAAGTAACATATTTGTCCTCGTATTTTAAAGTGTCTATAAAAGCATACAATATTGCAAGAGTGTGTCGCGAAGAGAAACCCTTGCTTCAACTGCTACTACAAGAAAGACATCTAAGCAATGAAAACCCGATTAACGCAAGATTTTAAGACCCTGGCAGATGTATTAATATAATAAACTATCAAGCATTGATATCCAAACACTCAAGCAAGGTATAAAAACGTGTACACGACCTTATTTCTAGATCTGTCTTTGAACATCAAGAAAAATTTTCCTTGTAATTGTTGGAAGATGCCGAAAAAAAGACTTTTGAAGTTTTCAAAAATTCAGAAATTTCAAAGGAAATGAGAACAGTTTTTATGAGATGAAACCTCCTTGCACACCATATCTGGCATGCCGTGGCTGTTCTGGAAACATATCTCGTCCTTCCAATCCAGCATATTCTGCCATGTTATTCTCGCTCATAATGCTGCGCCCCACCCCCTGCAAGGTTCCATATAAAAAATAGAAGTTGTGTCGATATATCTTAAAGTAAAAAAGAGCTCCTCGCATACGTTCATTTAAGTGAAAAACACATTTCAACACCTGCAATGATTCAGAAGGTATTCGAAGGGAACATCTTAAGAAGCCAATCTGTATTAAACTCCTCAAACATTATATAGTTAGTGTGTGTAAAGATATTTATTTTTATTTTATAGATTATAAATAAGTAGATTAATTAATTTTTTTTATTTGAAATGTAGGAAAGTAGACCGTTAATTTTGGTGGTTGGGACTGGGCAAGGTGGAGGAAGGCCGGACATTGCCGAGTGGGTAGGGAATTCTCTAGGATAAATAAGAGTGGGTTTATTAATTAATCAATTATTTATTTATTTATTTATTTACTTATTTATTTATTTATTTATTTATTTATTTATTTATTTATTTATTTATTTATTTATTTATTTATCATGTGCTGCACTGTAGTGCATGTTTTCTTATCGCGAGGTGGTGCCAATGAACATACCCCGATTGCGAGATCCGGCACCGCCCCACACATTGTGTAGAAGCTTTTTTCTCCGACCAGGTATATCCCACCAACGGGGCGCCGCCCCCGCCGAGAGAAGCTCTAAGCTCCCAACTGGTCTCTCAACATGTGTAGTAAGTGTAAGTGTGTGTAAGTTAAGGGTGAGGATATGGCAAGGGAGAAAGGAAAGATCGCGTGCGGTGAGTGTCCCGTTTGTTAGGGTTTTGCTCCGGCGTTCGCTTGGTGTTAATTGGAGAAACAACGAAAAACTACCGACCACAGTAGCCGACCGCTTGAATTCTCCTCCAGAGGTTGAATTTGACCTAGCTATTTTGCTGATAGAATGGGTGAAAAGGGCGGGAATAAATAGAATTTCTGTGAAAATAAATCGTGAAAATGAATATCGGAGCAACCCAGAGCCCTTACATTTGATTAAAAATAAACTTTCAGTACAAATTGTGAATTTATTTATATTTCATGATTTTTCAGCTAAACACGAAAAGAAAGGGCAGTTATTATTGTTAGTGTGAACCATCTCTACCAAAGGCTGGGCAACGCCATGTAGAACACAAGTTGTTACCAGATGGTGGTGATTAATAAATGTCCGAACAATGCTGGGTTTCTTAAGATTTTAATTATCAGTTTTATTTTATTATTAATGTTAAAAAATCCTTTTCTATACATGATATATAATTATATAAAATATTATGTATTATATAATAATATATTATATATTATTATATAATATAAAATATATTATTATATAGCAAATTTATTCCAATGAGTACGACTTGTAGAACTGAAATAACAACAAAACATGCAGCAAAATTGTTTTCCACACCATTCACAGCGAATAATAGGTGGTGATTTGTCACACCCATCACTAGTTTGGTGCCGCGTCTTTAATGCTATCAAATTAACATCTTTAAGAGCGGTATCTTATTAACATGGTCTCAGTGACTTGTAAAATTTTGCAAATTGACATAATTTTGTCACCGGGAATACAATTTCCGTCATTTGGTATTTTTTTCTTCTTCCAAATTTGACGAGCAAATGTTGGCTTGTTAGGGGAATTCACTAAATCGACCTAACTTTGTAAGAATATTTGTGTCTGTGGGTGTAGTATGTAACAATTTTTTACTAAATAGTCACACTCATTGACACTTATTGCCGATTTATATTACATATTTATTTATAACCGATTTATCATATATACTGTGAATTGGAACTCTTTGATATTAGTAAATTGGGAACAACTTCAGTCGTTCGGAAAGATTACGTAAATTGAGCTGTGAAGTAGAGAAGCCCGGTGTTCAATCTACTTTTAGCATAAAACATGTTATAGATACACAAAACTAGTACGTTTTGTAAAAGGTAATAGAACTACAAACAACTACGTTTCTAAACATTTAATTTAGAGTCTGTCTAAAAGATCCCTTCTCTAATGAAAGGCACCTTTCCATCGTTTCCGCAAGGGTAATGAGTTGGGAGTCACCACCTCCCCGCCCCCCCCCCTCATCCCTCGAGTTGGTATGTTATTACCTACGTAATGCGTCTAGTTTCAACAAAATACGGCATAAGCATCACACGAAGAATATTAATTGAAATTTATTTTTCATTTGAACGGAAATTGATAATTTTGTTCCGGAAAATGGAAAGAAGTCTCCCTAAACTCTGTCGAAACATCTATCCACAATAATTATTAAGAATGATAATTACAGATTCAACCTTGTAAAATATTCTGATAGCCCTTTATTTATTGCAGCCCAATATTTTCCATTTCGTTTCGCGATACCACTCCCATAAATGATTTTTGTCCGAAATACTAAGCAAACCCGTTATTCTTCTTCTCTCCATTCGCCAGTGTCACCTCGCTGTGTTAACATGCACACGACAAGCGTCGTGACCTGGGTCACAAGCCGCAGGCCCGAGCGAGCACCGTGCAAGGGTGGCTGGAACACGCTTGAGCCGAGCGAACCGAGTCGCGTCGCGTCGCGCCGCGCACAGGGCGACACCTCCGCGCGCTGCCGCCAGATGGCTCCAGGGCCGCGGCGCGGGGCGGCCGACCGCAGTGGGTCTTCGCGCGCGGACGCCGTCGGTCGCACGCCCGCCTCGCTTCGCCTCGCCTCGCCTCGCCACGCCACGCCTCGCCTCGGCCCGCCCGCCCGCCGCAGCCACGCACCGGCCCCAATGGTGGCGGTCCCCGCTCGCAGATGACGTGTGAAGAGGTAAGCGTCGCCGGGGCTCGGAGCACGCGGCTGGCACCGACGGCCGGCCGGCTCCTTTGGCTTTTTCCTTTTGCTTGGTGGTCGTGTCAACTGCGATGTCTTGCTTTATTTTGCGCGAAATTATTTTTATACGCCCGGGGTTTGGCCTTCTGACTCGAATAGAGCAGGGAAGGACGGCTAGTTTCGTTAAGGATAACGTTTTCTGACTTCTTATTTATGTTGTGTACTTATTTATCAAGACAAGATTTTTTTTTAAAACTTCGCCACAGAAAAAATTGAGAAAGAGGAAACTGCTTAGAGAAAATTCGACTGTGGGTCGGCTGCCAGGGGTGTACTCGCGATGAAAGACGTACAAACCGACATTGTGCTGCAGAAAGAGTGCGAACGCGGCCGCATTACCCCGAGGATCCGCAGAGCTGCGTCAGGCGGCGTCGTCGGGGAAAGCGACCTTGGCGACTGCGGCGAGGGTTGAGGTTGGAGGCACGCGCGTGAGCGGAGGCCACGGGCGTAGCAGGCGCGTGTCCTACCACACGCCGCCGCCCCCGCCCCCGCTCGTCATCGCTATCGCCTCCGCTACACCACCGCTACACCACCGCTACACACCACCACTACCGACACCACTACCACCACACCGCAACCATCAATAGCACCACCACCCCCCCCGCCGCCCCCGCCCACTGCCGCCATCACCCTCACGCCCGCCAACACCACACCATCCCGCCGGCACCCTCCACGCTTCGCGCCCACCAGTCGCCGAGCGGGTATCGAACGGGAAACCCCCGTGCCTAGGAATGCCCCTGTGCTGCGGCGGAAGGCGGTGGAAGGCGGGGACGGAGAGGAGGGCGCCGGCTAGACGCGCTACGCCACTGCGCTCTATGATCGATAAGGAGGAGGAGGTGGCGGGAACGGCGATTCGACCGCTCGGCGGACGAGGAGGTGGCGGTGACGGTGCCGGCGCCGCGCCGGTGGCGATGCGCGGTGGCGTGCGGCCGCAGGCCGTCGATCGACTCCGCCGCGTGCGATCCGCCCCGCCCCGCCCCGCCCGCCCTTCCCGCCCCCGCCTCCTCCGCTCCGTTGCGCTTGGCGCCGCACGCCTCAACACCGCGGCGTGGCTATTGAATGAATGCCTTTTCCAATGGATTTAAAATCGAGTTGGGTTTTCCTGCTCGGATAAAAATTGTATGATCGCGTGTCACCTCGTCACTCAACTGGGCGTTTTTCTTATTCGCTTGGTTCCGAGAATTACGTATATTGATAAAATCCCTTCTGATCGATTACAATTCTGTTACGTTTTGTGAACGAATTTCAGTTAAACTAAGTTGTTCTCTTAGCTAATTTGAAGCGTAGTTATTAGTATCATACTTCATTTTTGGTGCAATATCTAAATTAAATTATTTCTTTTTCATTGTTGTTCTGTGCCCCCCTAAAATTAGATAATTTTTGTTTGATTTATTGAAAAATAACCCGGAAAACTGTACTCATTTATAGATAATGTGGCATGTTTAGGAATGAACGTATACACGTATTCTTCAGGAGCTACTTAGTCCTAAAAATCAATATTGTGTGTTTGTAGAATTTCGTTTTTCCAACATTTGCTTCTTAATACTTTAAACACCTATAAATAAAATATTTTTTATTGAAAATGTTATTATAAAATATGTTTATTTACAGTAAGCATTCATTATCACTTATTGAGTTTCCAAGCTTACGACGCTTGTACCATGTTAAGATTTTTACCTAAATTTTATATTGTATTGCAAAATATTCAATAAAATGTTAAAGAGATTTTTAGCATGCGAATAACATCTTTCCTGATAAAAGTGTCAATCGCTCCCTTAAGTTATATTGAAGAAAGTGCCTACGAATATGATTTTCAGCAAAATTTATCATTATTCATAATCAAGATATTCACTCTTTAGGCAGTTCTGTGAGCGTTATTTCGCTGACGGTATTCGCAATCTAAATATTGTGTAACGATAAAAACAGTAAATCGTTCGTTTTTATTCTCTACATAAGCAATAAAGCACAAGAACTATCGTGCTTTTCAAACTGCGCAGTTTTTTTTCAAAAGCTGAAATCATATTAATCCAGAATGACAAATATGTCCTGCCGTTTTGAAGTTAATGATGCAAAAACATTTCGCAGATCTTTTTGAATTGTAATTCTGGATCATAAAAACGTCGTGACCTGACGGAATGCGGCAGCTTTATTGCATATCAACTGCTGCAATGAGATAAATGTGGGCTTGCCGCCTATGCAATCGCCGCCTAGTAAACATTTTTAAACTAATAAGAAGATTTTATTGGGATTTAATTCAATATTATTTTGTATTTAAGAAAAGTTTTCCGTTGAGTGTGCACACACGCGTGTACATATAGGGTTTCGGGGAAAAGGTGAATATAACATTCCTACAAATACATTTCTGAGATTATTTGCAGAATATTATATGAGTGTCGGAAAACACATTGAATTCAATGCAAATTAATAAATTAATTTGAAATGTCATATGCATGAAATAAATGGCATGAAAATACCTGGCAAAACAAGGTTCTGTTAACATTTTTACCTGAGCATTGTGCATCGCTACCTGGCAATTGTTTCGTTAGGCAACCTGCTTGACACACGTTACATTCGTGCAGCAGCGACTCTTGCAATCATGATGGTACTTGAATGTTAACAGAGAAGAAAACGGAAAGCAGTGTAAGGATGAGGGGGAAGAGGATAGGTGGAGGAGAGTAGGGAATAAAAGATGAATAAAGTGAAGAAATAATTAGAAGAATAAGAAAGAAAAATGATGAGAAAGGACAAAGAAATGGACAAGAAAGAGAAGAGAGAAAAAAAAGGATAAGGAAATAAAAGAACTTTCACTTAGTACTGTGTGCTATGAATACTAAATACGAATCAGGAATTCCGTTCGATTATAATTCTCACCGAGGAAGGTCAGGTAGAGCGGAACTCCAACAAATGGTACTCGTACTCCTAGAAAATTGACATAAAATATTATTGGTGGGGCTCACATAGATGGCTCAGGGCATCAATTGCCACCACAATACCTATGAACGAGAGGTCCTAGGGTTCACGTTCCTTCGGTGGCAGGATTTTCGATACTTGTTAGATGCGAATTCAGCCGCTATTTGGAGGAGAATTCTAGCGACCAGCTACCCTGATGGGTAGTTTTCCGTGGTTTCTCCGATCAACACCGGGCGAATGCCGGAGCAGTGCCCTACGAAACGGGCCACAGACTGTGCGTGATCTTTTCTTTAACTTCCTTTGTTGTATCCTCACCCCTTACTTACGCTAACATGCCCTATGTAACCACACATGCCAGGAAACCGGTCGGGAGCTAAGAGATCGACTTGGCCCGCCGGATCTTGCCACTCAGTGCAGGAATATCAAAGCCATTTCCCCCAGCGATAAAAATCACGCACTACACTTACGGAACAACTGATCTAAGCAGTTGACGCGCGGGAATCATCAATCAATCAAATCTAATTTTTCGGGACGTACACTACAACTTTTCTTTTTCGAAAAATTGTTGTTTCTCGTCGTCTTATTACAAAACTTTCTTCATACTACGTAACCAGTGGGTGTGAATGTATATTCTTTATTTATAAATCTTTGAACAACTGAAGTGATTGCTCTCAAATTCTGCACTCTGAATTTTGAGAAGCCGAGACAAAAAGAACATGAAAAGGTTCCCGATCCCAAAATTATACTCCAATTTGGTTTCACCGCAGAAAGTCGTTACCACAAATTACTGAAATTACAATATATTGAGGCGGCATAGTTTCTGGGCGTTTCCGTGTGATGCAGGGCGGGAGACAACTGGATTGAACGAAACGGAGGGGCGTGTCCGGCATATAGGAAGTCTTAGAATATGGTAGTGATACTCTCACATACCAGGACAACGCATAGTAATGAGCTACTTTGTTTTATTTTGACAGTAAACTTTTTAAATTTTAGATTCACTATAAAACTGTGCTGATTACGTACCTTGGTAAATACTACGTTCATTGGAGCCCGGAGTTAAATATTTTTGTAAAGGTTACGTTATTGATTTTAAATACTATTTAATTTAGAAATGTAGTATATTGATATTTGTCAAGTTCTCTAATTCCACTAGCCTGAGAATTTAAACTTTTTATTTATTGCCTAAAATTCAAAAAAATGTTATTTTCCATAATTTAGATATGCTGAATTTGAATTTTCAATCCGTTTACTTTTATCACGTAAGGTTTTCTTATGAAATCAAAGAAAATAGTAATGATTTGTTTATGCGTTTTAATACTACATATGAATGTATCAAAACAATTGATCTATTAAGAACACTGATCTGCGATGAAATTGCTGCCGTCGAAGTTTTATTGTTTTGGGGGGTTTAAAGATGTTGAAATCAAATTTAAAGTCAGAAAGTTCCTGTCACGTACAATTTAATGTTTTTAACTTGTTCTTTATTTTCCTTATTGCGTAATTTTCGTATGCCCAAAGAGTAATTATACTGAGTGTAATACTTAACCAAGTGTAGTTTTATAATGTAAGTATTTGAAAACCAAATATATTTAGAATGATTTTATTGTGTCTATAGTAAACACCGAGGGCACCAGTTGATTCTTATCTGATACGTGTAATTATTTAATACACTTTACACGTATTAAATAATTACACGAATTTCATTATAAACATTTTAATATTTTTTTTATTTCAAGAAAAACTATATTTAATATACACAAGATGCTAAAGTTAATGAGTATGGTTGTTACTAAATGTCTCTAGAATGTTAAAAATCTCTAGGAACAATCAATGAATAGTTCCAATCACCTGGATCATAGCTTGGAAGTCAAAATTTAAGCATAAGTTCTTTCACCTTATTGTATACAAGGTAGCCATACTTGAAGAAAAAGGCTTTAAATTATATTTCGCTTTGTCTGAACCGTTAGAATAATGTTTCTGGACAAAGCATATTTTTTTTATTGGTGTCTAGAACCCAACAAGTCAGCTAACTCTTTAGAGAGGGCACGATCCCTCAACAAGTCATTTCATTCGCTCTGATTGAAACACCCACGTTCTAAAGCAGACGAACCTGGGAGGCAGTCAATATCACGGATAGGACTTGGCTCATCAGGCTCATGGGGCAGAAAATGGCCGATCGAACAACAGGATACTCAATTTGCATTTTAGTTTTAGAATCGTTCCCCATCCCATCACAAGAACAGAAGTAACAGTCATTACTATGGTTTGACTGTTCTCTCCAAACAATAGTTATTCCAAAAGATAGCGACGATATTTTTCCGTTGACCAAATGACGATCTTCAATGCGTCCTTTACATATTTTGTGAGGTACTCAATGTTTACATTTGTCTCTAAGTTTGATTTCAAAATAGACAAGATAAGATTTTTTTAGAAAATCTGTAATATAACGCCTCTGCTCAGGCAATACGCATTTCCCACATATATAACAAACGTGCTTTGGATAATTTACACATGAGCAATGGGTGATGGTACTTTCGTGTTGAACTACAGATTCAACTCCAACATTCTACTCCACAATACAGCTTACAATTGATTTATTTTCAAGATAACATTCACTAATGCAATGTGAGAGAGACTAAGGCTACTAATGTGCGTTTTCATAAAGATAAGATAAGCTTATGTCTGTCACCAAGGATTGGCTATCTGCATAGGATAATGGCAAGGGTTATTTTACTCTTAACGCCTGTGGCGCCCGCAACCCATATCAGATAAGAATCAACTCGTTCCCTCGGCGTTTACTATTAACGCAATAAAATCATTCTAAATACATTTGGTTTTCAAGTCCTTACATAATAAAACTACCCTTGGTAAAGTTTTATACTCCGTATAATTACTCTTTGGGTGTACAAAAATTACGCTATACGGAAAATAAAGAAAAAAACAACATTAAATGGTACGTGACAGTAACGTCCTGGCTTTGAATTTGATTTCAACATGTTGAAAAAAAACCAAAAACATTAAAACTTCGAAGGCAGGAATTTTATCGCAGATGAGTGTTCTTAATAGATCGATAGAATATTGTTTTGATACATTCATATGTAGTATTAAAACGAATAAACAAATCATTACTATTTTATTTGATGAAGGATTTAAATAGTAATTATATGAGAAGTAGATACGGATGAAACACTTTTGGGATATAAATCAAAATTCTTATTAAAATAAAGTTAAGTAAATTATGCTTAATGAATTCTTAATTTGTGAATCTCTCAACTATTATTCGTATAAAATTAATTTGAAAGGGGTAAAAACATATTCTCTCTTTTGTTCTGGGAAATACATCATTTGTTAAAATTTCAGGTACATAAAGAATTTGTATTTCTTTAATATATACTAATGTATTATATATTAAATATACACTAATATCATTAAACCTCTAATATATAATAATAGAGTATACTTAGATTGTAAGTTCATTACATTTTCTCTATCTATTTTAAACTTGTATTGACAGTTCTTTCATTTCAGAACAGACATTTGCTCTTTGACAATGAAACACCCACAGATATGGAATTAACAGAACTGTCACGAAAGTCTTGTGTGGAATCTGCCGTGCATGTCAGAAGTCTGGGAAGATGTCTTCTTCGGACAGACAACAGACCCAGCAGCCGATCCGGTGGCCGGGATCGATAAGGCAGTAGTGCCGTAGCGAACTCGAAGCGAAGGATCGCGGGTTCGAGTCCCGCCTCGCGCATGGTTGTATTGTGTATCGTCCTTTCACCCCCTATCATCATCATTATCGTGTCAACCCAGTTACCATACCGTTACAAGCAATAGTGGTCGCTAATGACCTAGTAGTTGATGCGACCTTCAAAAAAAAAAAGTGTAAGGTAAAAGGGTAGGTGCGATGAAGGGGACGGAAAGGAAAGTGCACGAGGTGAGGTAGTAATCGTCTGAATAAAAAGAGAAAGACATGAAGCGAAGAAGCGAACCGTCATTGAAGAACGGGATGGAAAGGGAGCAGGTGGCAGACAGAGCGAGGAGTTCGTGTTGGCGTTAGAAGATACGGTGTTCGTGGAGACTGAAACTTGGAGCAAACCTAAATTCCCTCGAGGATCAGTGGGATACGTACCTGTCTCGCCGTGCTACTGCCGAACAGCCATTCCCTTCACCTCGGCTGTGGGGTAACGATCGCCGCCCGAGAGGACTCAACGCCGGCTCCGCACCGCCCGCAGCCTTCGGCCGCCGCCCCCCTCCTCCTGCACTACCTTCACCACTACTATCATCTTCGCACTTCGTAGTACCATCCAAAGTACTTCGTCGATTTCTTGAAAGATTCTGGTTCAACAATGAAACGATACAGGATATCACCTCTTGACCAGAGCACCTCCCCGCCACCTCTGTTGCGATAATTATCCTTCTACCGCCGCTCCCCCTCCTCCATTACCTTCACCATAACCATCACCTTCGTCATGACTAGCGTCACCATCCAAGGCACTTCGTCGATTTCTTGAAAGATCCTGCTTTAATACCGAAACAGTACATGGTATCACCTCGTGACCGGAGCACTTCCTTCCCCCCTCTTTCGCGATAGTTACCCCTCTACCGTGACCGCCACCAGTACTTCCATACCCCCTTCTAACCTACCACTGCCAAACTATTTGTGTATATTGCCTTTTAACTTGAAGTTTCTACTCGTTTCGTAACGTTCGTACCGACCGCTATTCTCCGTCTTAATTATAGTGACTTCTGACGTTAGATCGGCTGGCCGCGGTCCTCCCATAGAGAGCTTCAGTAGCAAATATTTAAGTCGTAACGATTGCATAACGCCGTCCAGCTGATGAAACGTCAGAAGTCGCTCCATTTAAACCGGAGTGCAGGCGGCGTGCCATTTTCCGCCTCCCTCTCCACAAAGAAGCCCCACCCGCGCGCTGTCCGGCTCGGGGTGGTGGGGAATTAGGAGGAGCGCGCGCAGTAAAATTTTATTTCGCTGCACTAGTTGCTGTGACTCGCACTAGATTGATCTCGTAAAAATGTTTCCAAAGGAGGAAAAACCAGGGAAACGGACGAGAGTTGAAAACGTTCAGTTGTACACATCATCGTGATACTGCTTTCGTTGCGAAACGGCAAAAGTATGTCCTGGTAAAGAACAAATTTCTTGCTTGAATGGTACTTCTGAAGTAGAAGGAGCCGTATCAGAGCAGTGAGTTCTTGAACAGCCAGCTACACGTTTCTGATTGCCGCCGTAAAGGAAGTAGCAGCTCAAAATGATGATGTTGCTGTCACTTTCAGACATTTACAATGGTCGTTTGTATTATTTAAATGTTTCTTGAGATCCATCACCTGAAGGAAAATACACTCTCGCAAAATCTTGAAATCAGTGAAATCTATGTCCAAAAGCGGAAAATGTAAAATAAACAGTAGAAAATAGGAAGTAATTATAGTGAAGAGTAATTTTATAATTTCCTAACATACTCGAAAATTATTTTCGGTCTCTTTTTGTCTCTCCTTCTTTCTATCATTTCTTCAACCGTTATACGAATCTCTTTCTGATTCTTGGTTTTCCTCTCTCTGAGTCCACGGTGTCGATCTGATCTCTTTCTCTACCCTCTCCCTCTCTCTCTTTCCCTCTCTCTTCGTATTACCCTTCCTCGTGATCAGTATTTAATGAGACCTTTTTTGACAAAATGACCCCAATGAGCCGATTTTTAATTTATTTTCATTAGTTCTATGGAAAAGCCATCAAAATATTCATCACATGATATGATCAAAAGTATCCGGACACTTGGCAGAAAATGACATATCAGTTCGTGGCGCTCTCCATCGATAATGATGGAATTCTATATATATATATATATATATATATATATATATATATATGAACTTACGAAGTAAATAATTACACCTTTAACAAAGCTAAAATAAAGCGAAATATAATAGACTCCACTGTGTGAAGAAAGTTGTTACACTAGCTGCGTTAAAACGTTTATTTACAAGTATTTTAGAGAAAGGCTATAGTGATGAGGCAGGGGAGGAAACCATATTTTAATTTTTGTCAAAGATAGTGACGTCATGCAGATTTTGGACTGAAATATCTACAAAAGGTTTAGACAAAGCTGATTAATAATATTAAATTCATCTAATATCAATATTTTAATATTAATAAATTCCATAAATAATAATTAATAACAAGACATTTTCTAAGAAACGATGCGTATTCTTTGCACGAACATTTTGACCTTTACCAGTAAAAAAACATACTGATGAAATAAGAAGTTGAGAAAGTGCTTTTCTCTTTGAATATTTCAACGACCGTCTTGTGAACCCCAAGCAGAGGGTTGTCTTGTGTTGAACGCGCGAGAATAGCCGCCAGGGGCGCCCAATGCGGTCGTGCTGGTGCGGCCGGGGCGGCCGTCCAGGAGGCAAGCAGGAAGGCGCCCACGCGCCGGGGTCGAAGTTCACTGCACCTTCTCGGCTGCGGAGGATCGATCGCGCGGGGCGCTGCCACTGAGCTGCCGCCCCCGCCGCGCCCGCCCGCCCCCGCGCCCCCGCCGCCCCCGCCGCCCCCGCCGCCACCGCCGGCCCCGCGCGCCCCCGCCGCCCCCGCTGCCCCCGCCGCCTCCGCGCCGTCCGCCGCCTCCGCCGCCTCCGCCGCCCTCCCGCCCACGCCCGCCGCCTCCGCCGCCTCCGCCGCCCCCCGCCGCCCCCCGCCGCCCCCGCCGGCCCCCCGCCGCCCCCGCGCCCCGCCGCCTCCCGCTGCCCCCCGCCGCCTCGCGCCTCCCGCCGCCTCCACGCCGCCACCCCGCGCGCCTCCGGCCGGCCCCCCGCGCCCGCCCGCCGCCCGCCCCGCCGCCCCCGGCCGCCCCACCGCCACCCGCCCCCCCCGCCCCCGCCGCCCACCGCGCCCCGCCGCCCCCGCCGCCCCCGCGCCCCCGCCGCCCCCCGCCGCCCCCGCGCCCCCGCGCCCCGCCCCGCCCCCGCCGCCCCGCCGCCGCCCGCCGCCCCGCGCCCCGCCCCCCGCCGCCCCGCCGCCCCCCGCCGCCCCCGCGCCCCCGCACCCCCCGCCGCCCCCGCCGCCCCCGCCCCCCCGCCGCCCCCGCCCGGCCCCCGCCGCCCGCCGCCGCCCCCCGCCCGCCGCCCCCGCCCCCGCCCGCCCCCGCGCCGCCCACCCCCCCCGCCCCCGCCCCCCCCGCCCCGCCCCTG